GCGGATACTTTTAGCTTCACAACAAAAAAAAAATTAATAAAAAATATCAATGTATGCTCATTTGATCGCATTTTTAAAAACGTACCAATAGATGGCCCACCCTGTATATATATATATATGTATAAAAATAATGTTATTAAAATCATTAACTTTTTTACGTTTCAGAGCGAGACGCAAAAATTAGACAGCATTTTAGAATCTAAAACTAATAGGGAAGAGTGGCAATTAGAATTAGAAAAAGTTCTACCTCGTTTGAAAGTGACTGTTAAGACAGGTATTGAATAATTTTTGAATGAAAATCAGTTAAATAAAACGAGCGTTATTGCATATTTAAATTTATCGTAGATTCAAGAGATTGGAGAGCGCATCTCGAGCAGATGAAACAATTGCGTATGAATATCGCAACTAATCTGAGCGGTACAAAGGCCCACTTGAACAAAATTTACACCGATATCGGGAGTACTTTAGACAAGATTAAGACTAGGGAAACTTATCTTAACAAGCAACTCGAACCGTCTTTAACAGACTATCGCTCATTGCAAGTGAGTTATTCAATTTTATATTTTTTAATATTATATTTTTATATTTAACTTAAATATTATTATATTATTAAGTTTGTTATGTTTTTATATTAAATTTTTTATACGTATTATTAAATTACACATACAGATAGTGACATGTCAATTATAATAATTAATCTAGGAAGAATTATCGAAAGTCAAAGAACAATATAGAGACGTTAGTGGTGGTGTTACCGAACGAACGCGTGTTCTTAATAAATTAGTGGAGGAGTTGGAACATGTGAAGAGAGAAATGGATGAGAGAGGCTCCAGCATGACTGATGGAAGTAAGTATAAATTTATTTCAAAACATTTAGAGTAGTAAATCTCACTCTTAAAGATTGAAAATTGAGCTACTCTTTTTTTTTAAACTGACTCAATTTTTACTCTTTGGAGTGAGATTCCACTCCAAAGAATTTAGAGAGTATAGATATCATTCGATACGAAGACGTGGTTGGAAAATATCTAATTTTTACTCTAAAATGTATATTTACAGCGCCGCTTATTAATATAAAGAAAATGATCACGAGGATGAAGAATGAAATCTCCGAGATGAATATTCGAATCGGCGTGTTGGAGTACAGCTTGATGTGCGCGAGAGTACGGGATCGAACACAGTTACGAGAGGATATGAACAGCACGAGTACCTCAGTAATAATTTAACGCACGTCGTACATCTTTATTATTTATGTTTGTATATTTCAATCTGTCCGACGTGTGATGTTACGTAGTCTAGTCTTGATTACATATTAGGTCTGCTTTTTGTGATTAGATTAGTATACACTTTTGAAACTTAAAGTATATGTTTGATATTTGACGAAAGCGAGAAAGAGAGTTCAAGTATAGTCCAGTTCCTTTTTAAAGGAATAAAAAAACAGACCTATTATATGTGCGTCATTACGGGTCCAATTACTCTGCCTCTAAAGAAGTTGCGATAACGCAACTACGTAGAACTGAAAAAAATCGCACCGCAGTGTGCACCTCTCATAAATGTGTGAAATTTCTGATTATGCAATTTATACGTTTGTACTTAGCTCATAATTGTCAATCAACACTGACACAGTATTTCAGTTAAATAAAAACGTTTTTTTGTTTTTTTTTTTTACATAACATTTCTTATCACTCTTGTCTTATCCGATTCGAAATATCCTTCAGCACTTTCCGTAACTATATTTTTCTTTTTTTTTCTGCGTATATCGCATTCGCAGCGATCAAGTTGTTGACTGTCTAGCTGATCGACACGTATATGTGTAAAAGTAACCCATGAACGAAAAAAAGAAGTGATAATGCGAGATCGCGGTGCTATCTCGCACGAATCTGCCGTCCATGGCGATTGTTCGCGCAATCGATGCAATTGCATATTCGCGCGTTGGTACTCGAGTCGAGTGTGTCAGACGTTCAGTGCAGGCGAGACGGGCGTAAAAAGTAGACTTGGACTCGAGAACAATAGGTATGTAAAAGAACTCTTTTGTTTTGATTAATGTACGATTTTACGCAATCCAGGAGCACGTGAATCTCTTATCAATTCTTTGTTCGTTAATATCGATATTATATCGATATGAGATAATATGAGATGATCGCCAAAATGATATAACAACCATCAAAGGTCTCTCGATTATCCATCGGGAAATCGATTGTTAAAATTAAATCACGGAAACATTCTTGTTTTGTTGGTCTGCAGATTGATTCGTGGTGGGCGCTTTTATCGTTTGCAAGCGGAAAAATTTTTCCTCGATGAGTGTTCGCAATTACGCGCTGTTAAAATAAAGTGTGACATTCGATATGTATTGGTATCAATGATAAAAATAATTCAACGAGACAATAACTGTCATTATTAGATGCTAGCATCGTCAATAACATAATTCATTGTTTTGCGGAGGCATAGATTTTGATTTAATTTTCTTTTTTTGAATATAGAGTTTACCCGGACAGGATCCCTCTTTTATAATCGAATTTATGAAATAATCGATTTTCGACAATGCATTTACTCGTTACGATTTTTTAGAAACTTTGAAGTTAAAAATAATTCCTTAAAAAATTCCAAGTTAAAAAAAAAGGTACGTGCTAAATCGTATGTAAGCGTGTCTGTAAGCGTGAATCACGATGGACGAAGCCTGAATCGTGTCGTTTCTCTATCTGTTCTTATGCAGGATGTGATAGCCTTCCATCGCATGTGTTCGAATCGCAATGCCACGCAATTACCGGAGCGATGTTTTCTCTTCGCTGCTTTCACTTTCACAATTTCTTCGCATTTTTGCACCCAATATATCGCTGTCGTGCGCGAAAGATTTACTAACATATTAAGTAAATTAAACAATACGACACAAATATTAAACAGTAACGAAATGTTTATAATAAACAAAATAATAAATATATACTAAAAACATTTTTGAATACATAAAACGATTTATTTTGTTGATATGCAACTAACAAAAACTTTTTTACTTCTTCATTTAAAAATTGTGTTGCTTGAAATATAGGAATATAAATAGCAATAAGTAATTCACAATTTCTATATAATTATCTTATTTATATGCTTATTTATATGTTATCTTTTGTCGAGTATATTTTGTACATATTATATGTTATGTAAAAAAAAATAAGTCACATTTCAACAAACTATATGTTTCAATACCAAAAGGAAACTGAATTTCAACATGCAAATGAATTATTTCAAATGTATATGTCCTTTTTACATTGGAAATATATGTAAATGAATTCAAAATTATACTTGACAAGAAAGAATGGGAGCACATCGATGAATCATAGAATGAAAAATTGATTTTGCCTTCCGTACATAATGATGCATAACATACATAATGACATTACAAATGAAAATGACTCATAATTATATGTAATATATATATATAAAACATAAACAAAGATTACATATTCTAAAATCATAAAAAAAACAAAGGAAGTTATAACAGCTTAATAAATTTCAGTAAAATTTCAGTAAAATGTTTTTTTTTTCTAAATTTATTAATTCACTTAAGTTTCCAAATATCATTTTTAAGAACCTGATTAAGTATATTAATCGATTTTTAAAGAATTTATGCTATTTTTCGACTTAAATTCAGATTTTCTCAGATTATTTCGTTATATAATGGTAATATAAAAAAATTTAAAGTCCTAAATAATATATTTTGATAATTTCTTTCGATACTTTCTTGAAGTAAATTACTCAGCACATTTGTTATGCAAATCTTTATCCTCTCAATTACACAAACTCTTGAAAGAAATATTCGATTGACTTTTTTTTTGTTTGATATATCAATTAAAAGTATTACAATCGGACACATTTTTATATTACAACTATCAAGCAATCTACAAGTATTTATTATTTCAAGTATCTCTCACGTCTGAAATTGCATGAATAAATCTGAACTTTGAGCGATAAAAGATAGACGTATTATTAATACGTATCATTTTGTCTCTTACTTGCAATTCCCGTTATTTGTTCGTTGAACGATTAGTCATTAGCTCGCCTCATCTAATGAATAAAAATCTGTAGGTTCTATTTATGCGTCGTGGTCATTGCATAGTCTGTGACTTTCCTACGTGGAAGCTGCATGTCGTATCTATCGTAATGATCGAGGGCATCGAGACTGTCGAGATGACCGTCTTAAAAGATGACACAAGTGTAAAGTAAGATGTACAGTTGCAGAAAAAGGGACATCGTTATGTGTTAAGAGACATCACGATTGGGATTGCATTAACAGTTGGTTATGGTTTATCGCTTATCTCGATGTAATTATCATCTCGATTAATCTTAATTCATCAAAGAGAGCAATACCTGCTTACAAGCTACTTGCAATCATTTCATCAATAGTGCGTAACACTATTGAAAAAATTTATTAAATATTAATACATATTTTTTTGAATATTACTAAGTGAACATTTACTTACAATAAATAAATTTTTACTTAATAAAGAATGGATAGTTTAATCAAATTAATGGTTTTAGTATCAAATAAATATTTACATTTAGTAAATATTTACTTTAGAACTATTCAAATAAATATTTATTAAAATTTAGTTTTTTTTTCAATGTATGAAATGTGGAAAAAAATCGCATACAAACTTTCGAGTTGCTCGAAGTTTTTTTCGTGGTTTTTGACCTTCAACTATACATATAATTATAAAAGTTATAAAACGTTATGTAACTAAGTTTTAAAACGTTAAAGTATAAAATCAACTTGCTCCTTATAACGACTGAATAGAATTTCAAAAATTTTTTACCTACAATTTAGAAAATTTCAGTACAGATTGTATAATTGTCTAAAATTTTTCACTTTGAATCTAAATGACTGTTGCTGTAGTCAAGAATTAATTAACGATCTTCTTGAGATCATACTTTGATCAATTTCGTTCGAAATCGTGCGTTTTTTATTTGTTTTTAATTCAATAAATATGTAAGATTATTAATTGCTGTTTTGCATTGCTTTTAATTCAGAGAGAAGTTCGAAAAATGTTGATCTCGATAGAGATTGCATAAACACGAGTTATCATGAAATAAAATTTCATCGTTTTATAGATGAAATCAAAGAAATATCTCGTGATTGCTTCGAAGATCTTATCTTAACTTGATAAAAGTAAAGCAACCTTTCGCTTCTTAACGATATTCAATTTTATCAGAATAAAGCACTTGAAATCTTACAATCATATTGTTGACATCATTTGCCTCATTTGTCATCACTGATTGATATTTTCAATCAGTGACTAGACTTTCTTTCAGCCCAACAGTTATTAATTCTGACATACGAATAAGTGTTGGGAAAAAATATAGAAACAATATTTTAGAGACTTGATTTCTGTAAATGGCAGATTTCCATTCTGTTCGTTGTGATTATTAATGTGAAAGTAAGCCGAGTAATTCGCGGTTGTACTTGAAACTAATTTCTCGTGAAGACGAAAGCGACCTGCTGTTATTACTTTTTCCTCGGATGCGAGATATTTATTTGGAGAGATCAAAATGGCTGAAGTACGAAAACCTAAAGCGCGCAGAAATGCAACCTCTACGCAAACGTCAATACGGTAAGAATTCTTCGAGTTAATGTAATCGGAGCCAGTAAATCTTGATAATAAAAATTAATGAATATTTTCACATTTATCTATTGATTCTTTGATTAAATTTCCTAAAATCTTCTCGAACGAAGAACCGTCACAAATTACACATATTGTAAATAAAAATATATCTAGAATATAATTTTTTTTCGATAACATTTTTTTAATTAAAAGGATTTCTAATGAGATTTTCGAATTTTTCCTCTAATGAGATATTTCTTTTTCCTCTAATCATTTAACTTTCTCATTATTGTCTCAATCTCTTCTTTCATTTTTTTACTTTTTCCTCACAATTTTGCTTCTAGCAGAAATAACGTATAAAATGAAGCATAACAAAATTTATTTATTTCATACATACTTGAGAGGAAGTGGAATGGAACACGAGGAAGTTAGTTATAATTACTTCAGAGAATAAACAGTACTGTGAAAGCTTCCGGCAAAATAGCAGAATAAAAAATTGGAATGTCGGGAATATTCCGACAGAAATCTAAAACTAAAAAATGTATTCAGGAAAATATGAGTTTATAGGCATATCTGATGCCTTCGAGGATTTCCGAATAAATTACATTGGAATGACAATAGATAAGTTTGTTTTAAGTTAGTGCGTGTTTTGTAGCCTTCATTTCAAACCTCTCATAATAATAATAATCAACGAATAGTGGCGGTTTTAAAATAACGTTCAAAACAAATAGAGCGTGCCAGTTGCCAGTCATCGCATACTGTTTATTCAGTAACATTTTCGCTTAAAAAATTCTGTAGAGTGCAACATAACGTTCAGTACTATTGTTATACAAAGACAAAATTCTTATAAAAAGCGTTTTAATAGAAAAGCGAATCGGAAAACTAATGAAAACTAGATGTGAAATAAAGAATTTACGATATTGAAATTTAAAATAAAATAATATATATAATACATTTTTTTTTAATTATAAAATGTAAAAGATATTTTATAAAACATATTTTTATAAAATAAAAAATATATGTAAT